AAGGCCCTCAGGGCTAAGAAATAGACAAAATAGACAGTCCCCTCCATCAATATGGGAGACGGTGAGACGATTCTCTCTACCCTAGTAGAGACAGTCTTGGGGAGTGTATACTCGCCCTGGCAAAGTTAGCGGGGAAGACACCCCTGGTCGCGCGGAGGCAGCCCGCCAGCCAGCCGCGGCTGTGCGGCTGCAGCTCCGTGACGATGTCCCCCGGGACCACTGTCAGCTCGTCGTACAGCGCGGCCTTGTACGCCGAGAACACCCTGGCGTAGCCTGCCGGTCAGAGTTGTTGACGACGGCGGACTATTAGACGACGAGGTCGCAAAATGGAACGACCGTCGTCGTGCAGTTGCAAAAAAATTGTTGCACCGACCGAGCACCGTCGGGAAGGTGTCGTTGGCCGGGCTCGGCGCCGTCACCTTGTGGCCCTTGCGTGGGCATCCGCAGTCGGTGCTGCGGACCCGCTTCTGCCCGGGCTTCTGTAGGGGGCAGGGCAGCAAGTCACCAGTTACCACCACTGCAGGACCAGCACGGCCAGGACAGCGCCGCTACATGAGGGGCAGCACCCACGCACCCGCCAGCCGAACGCATCTGCAACAGAGATTAGAAACGTGTCCTCGTCCATTCAGGACCGGAAGCCCCAAAACGTTCGGGGTACCTCTCCGATGAGTCATTCGCGAGTTCGCACGGGGTCCATACCAGGTGGCTGACTCGCACCACGCCTTTTCGTAGTTTTGCTGTACCGAGCATATGCATGCGTGCGGTTGGGTTGCCTTTAGGGATCATCCAGAAAGTACGTCCGTCATTCGCTGTTAAGAACCCTCCAAATTAAGGCAATGCAAGCTCTCATGGCGCCTGATGGGTAGGCACAATCTTGCATGCCGTGCATGCGTGTATTGCAGGGTGGCCTACCCCGAGTTCTACAGGCGCCGAGCTTCTGTAGTTTGCAGGATGATTTTGAGAGAAACAGACGTACTTTCTGGACGATTCCTAATGGTACGGGGCCCCATACGGAGCCGTGGGCAGCGGCTAGGCAAGACCGCCCGCACGCCTGCATGCCGGCACAGTATGAGTGCGCAGCGTGAGTCAGCCACCTGGTATGGGGCGTTATTTTGGGGCTCGATGTGTGACGCGTGTTAAAAAGGGCCAGTGACTAAAAAAAAAGGGAATTTCGTGGTGACTCGGTGTTGAAGGCGATTATACACAGCACACAGTGATTTCAAAAATTAAAACACGCCCTTTATCCCCACATCGCTTGTTGTATGCAGTTTTGCATCACGCAACAACTCATACAGAGGGGGAAAGAGGAGAGGGAGAGAGTCTGTTGGGCGGCGGCTACGTCCAAGCCCCCTCTATCAACGGGGATCACGGGTGGATGGGGTTTTACAGTTTCGGGTCACGGATCCATAACCGTGGAGCGGGGGGCCCACTTTGTTTCATTAATTTTCGGGCGAGCACGGGGCGTAAGCCCCGCGGGTGAACAGCGCCCGGGCTGGCTTCGCCGGTTGACAGAATCGCTTTTATGTAATCTTTGATTCATGAAATATTAAGCCCTTTTCGGGCGCGCGTGTGTTGAACCCGCGGCGGGCGGCTGCGGCGGATACAGCTGCCAACAATGGCCCTCGCCCCGCTCGGCCCGCTTGGCCCCGCCGGACTACTGTCCGACCAGCGCGGCTGTGCCAATGTTTGAAATGCGCCGAGCCCTTCGCGGGGACGCTGTCCACCCCGCCGCGCCCCGCCCCGCCCCCGTAACCTGCCCCGCGTGGTCTAATCCCTTGTCCGTGAGCTCGCAGCGTGCTGCTGGCGCTGCCGCCCTACAGCAGGCGGCGCGCGGACCGCCCCATTTTTAAATTGCTAACGCGCCAGAGGGCTTAACAACACCATCTCGTATTTAAACAGAGAAAGGAAATGCGAAGGGAACCGTCGTCTCGCTTACCGGCTAGGTCGACGGTCGACACGGAGGGTCCCCGGACCTCCGCGCGGGTCGTGGGCTGTTTGGCCGGGGAGGTGTCGGAGGGGGTGCTCGGGGGCGACGCCGATTTGCTGCCGAGGCCCGTGGCGGTGGAGGCTTGAGCTGAGGAGGTGGCCGAGGACGTCCCGGGCGTTGTGACGGTTGTGGCCTTGGCGGTGCTGTCCGAGACCTCCGACGAGTCACCGTCTGGTGTGATGGAGGTGCCCTAGCGAGGAGACAGTATGTGCGTCTCTTACCTACCCCACGAGAGAGACAAGAGCAAGAAGTCACGTGGCCTTCCGTTACCTGGGCGATGTCCTGGGTCGTCTCGCGAGCAGAAGTCTCGGCCTCGGAGACGTTCGTGACGGTGGTGGAGGTCGGCGTTAGCGTGGTGGTGGTCGCGGGTTTGTCGTCGTCGTCCCCGGGTGCCCCGTCGTCGTCGGTGCTGAGGGTGGTCGTCGAGGCCGCCGCCGTGCTCGTCTCGTCTGGTGGCGTCGCCATCGCCGTGGTCGAGCCGAGGTCGTCGTCGTCCTCCGCGGTCGAGCGAGCGGCCTCGGCCGACTGAGCTGCGTGTACGGCAGGCTTAGCAATGTCAGAGGCCGAGGTCGAGGGGGCTGTCGAGGTCGGGCGAGCGGTGGCTCGCGAGATCGCGCGGGGCCGAGTGGTCAGAGGGGTCGCTTTGGCGGTCGTACGCGCGTGTCGCGTGCTGTAGTTCGTACCGCTTGCTCCGTCCGAGGCCGCGGTCGAGCTCGTAGAGGGAGTGGTCGTGCGAGCGCGGGTCGAGCGCGTGCCCCGGGTCGAGAAGCTGCGCGTCGTGCCCTCGTCGTCGGCGTCCGAGACCGTGGTCGAGGCGGTGGTCGTACGGGCGTGGGTCGAGCGTGTGCCCCGAGTTGTCGTGGTGTGCGTCGTGCTCTCGTCGTCGGCCGAGACGGTCGTGGCGACCGAGGTCGCATGCGAGCTGGTCGACCGCGTGCCGGGGGTCGAGTGAGCGGCGTGGGCCGTGCTCGTGTCCTCGTCGTCATCGTCGTCGTCGGAGGCCTTGGCAGAAGCGGAAGTCGTTCGAGCGTGTGTCGTGCGCGTGCCGTGGGTCGAGTGCGTAGCGTGGATCGTGCCCTCGTCGTCGTCCGGGACGGTCGTAGCGGCAGTGGTCGTGTGCCAGTGGGTCGAGCGCGTGTCGTGGGTTGGGTGAGATGTGTGGCTCATGGTCGTGCCTCCGTCGTCATCGTCGGAGGCCGTGGTTGGGGCCGTGGTCGTGCGGGCGTGCGTCGAACGCGTCGAGGGTCCCATGGAGGAGAGTCTCGGCGTCGTGGGGCTGTTCGTCGAGAGTCTCGCTGTCGTGGGGCTGGTCGTCGAGAGGCTGGTCGTCGAGAGGCTGGTCTGGGATCCTGTCGGACAGGGAGAGAGGGGCGGTAGACGAGCAAGGCGGGGAGAGCGCGATAGGGAAGCGCACGGGTCTTACCTGAGCAGCTCGCCGTCCACAGGAGGCAGATGGTCACGGTGACGGCGACGGCCATGGCCTCACATGGCACACTCCCAGCGCTTCAGGGATGGGCCCCCTCCTCAGCCCGTCATTGGTTAACGAGTCTTATGTTTTTTTGCCCCCACGTTTCTCCTCGCGGGGCCCTGCTCGGGGCCTAACTGCACGGTGCTGGGCGCTGTTGGCCTTATCGACATACGCCCCACTCCCCACAGCCCTCCCACTCCCCCGGCGTCAGCCGAGGCGTCAGCTACTCGACACAATTCCGTCGCCCAATCCGATGCCACTGACGAGGCCCCTCAGCCCGCGGTTCTTGTTAATTGGACTATGTTTTTGTTCACGTCACATAAAATGACAAAGACATATTTCAACGACCGCTACGATGAAAGTAGGCCTAGCACCACTGTGACATGTGACTTCCGCGAGTGTTTTTTTAAGCGTAAAAGAAAACACGGATTGAACAGGACTATCATTTTCAAAACTTTATGTAATGATGAAGAAATGGTATCAAATACAGTTTAGTTTACAATTTGGCACGGCACGTGGTGTTTCCGGGTGCTGGAGTTGAGGTGAAAGGTCGCCTTCCGCCAGGGCCGAATGGATGCCCACGGCTTTTGCAGGGTCCATTAACTTCCGAGGATCGACGGGGTGGTCAACCAAACGACCTGGTCGAAGGCCCGCTCTGCCTCCGGTACTGCGCTGCGGACGGGCGCGCCGTCGTCGTGGTGGTGCTGGTGGTGGTGGTCGAGGACGCGGACGCGGACGCGGACGCTTTCTTACTGACGGCCGCCTTGTCCTGGTGGGAGTCGAAGGACGGCAGCACGGGCCAGGACATCAAGTGCGCGGGCGGGGCCGTCGAGGACACTGTCGAGGACGACGCCGCCGCCGTCGAGGTGCTCGGCGTCCTCCTGAGCATCCTGGAGGCCAGGTGGCGCGCTGCTAGCTCCACGGCGTGCGCACCCCTGCCCCGGGCCTGGGCCCAGGACCGCGTCCGCTGGGCGCCCTCCTTGGCCAGCCGCACAGCGTTGCCCTCCTCGTCCTCCGCCTTGCTCTCCTTCGGCATGGCGCGGCCCAGGTCGTGCCCCGCGGCGCCCTCGTGCCCCTCCTCGTCGGCGGAGGGGTGGCCGTCGTGGTGCGGCTCCGAGTCCAGCAGCCTGCCGTGCATCATCCTGCTCTTGGCCCCGGCCGAGTACGGCACGGACCCGAACGGCATGGCCCCGAGGGGCATGGCGCCGAGCGGCGCGGCCGCGGCCCACGACCCTGAGGCGCCCGGGGCGCCCTCGAAAGGTGGCTCGGGTGTCGGGGGCTGCATGGCGTCATCCCCCATGGGGACGAGGCCGCTGGTCACTGGCGGCGTCTCGACAGGCCTCGTGGGGACGTCACGCCCGTTCGGCTGGACTTCCGGCACCGCAGTCGCCTGGGCCGGGGGGCAGTTGGGTTCGCAGGGCCAGGGCCACGGGATCGGCAGAGGCGGTCCAGTCTGCTGTTGGACTTGGTCCAGGGACGGCTCGCCGATGATGCCGCTGCCGACGGGGGCCTCTTGGGCGTCCTGGGGCGCCGGTGACGCCATAGGCTGCGCACTAGCGAGCGCCTCTGCCGGGCAGTGCGGGCTACACGACGAAGGCGTCGCTGGAGGATCGACATGCGCGAGCTGGGGTGGGGCCGACGGGGTGGGGACGGCGGCGAGCTGGGGCACTAGGGGCATGAGCATCGCGGGCTCTGGCTGCTGCGCTACGGGGGTGGGAAGCAGGGGGTACTGCGTGGACGGGGCGGTGGTGGTGGTGAGCGTGGCGGGTGCAGGGGGTGCAGG